TTCCTACACGGCCATGACCCACAAGGCCGTGTGGACTTCCAGGGTGCCCGTGTGAGTTCCCTGGAATTTCCACACGGCCACAAGGGGTCCCCTACACGGCCGTGTAGCTTTTAGGCATGCCCGTGTGACTTCCTCTGCTTCTCGCCAAACGTCCGATCTCCGTCCAATCGACCTTGAACTCGTTCCTAAACCTTCATTTACGTACTAGGACCTGAAATATCACAAACAAGAACAACTTAGCGTGAAATCAACCTAAAACGTGAGAATCGGCATCTCAAACGGCTCAAGAATAGGGACAAAAACATGTGCAATCAATGGTCTATCATCCATCCATACAAAGTTCTTTATACAATTCAAGACCTCTACTATATACTTACATGAGATGAAAAGATGATTGGTATCTTCTTCTTCGGCAAGGCCCAATGCGCATCTGCTAGGGAAGGACCAACCTCTCTTCTTCAACATCTCGTGGGTCAGAATTTTCTTGTAATAAACCGTCCAAAGAAACACCCAGATCTTTTGAGGAACCACTTGCTGCCAAATCATCTTGTGAGGAAATCCATCTGTGTTCTGTGTTTGGTTCTTGATCAGGACAACATAAAGTGAGTTGGAGTTTAAGCCCGATAATGGAGAGGGCTCCCAAACTACTCTTGTAGGACCTGCACACACAATAGAAAGGGAAATACTTGCAAGCACATTCATCAAATCTTGTCTTTCTCTCTCAGCCCCACACCTTAGTGAGAACTTAAGTGGAATTATCCAGGAAACACTCTCTCCCTCAAGTTTTAGAACATCAGTGATACGGCAGCCAGGAGATTGCGCCGCAACAAAAACCCGCGGGAAGTCTTCATCCAATCTGTGCCCTTTGATCCAAATAACGTGCCAAAAGGAGGTCCACGTCCCACCTCCCGCTTCCACATGTGCAACCTTCCAGAATACATCTTTAACCTTCATGATTTGGTTCCAGGGACTGCAATCGATCCCTATTCTATTGAAGCCTGGTACCCATTCGGAATCTTCGTTATGATAGTTGAGGTTTATGAGCTGCCTCCACCAGGAATCAGTTTTGTTTGAGAATCTCCATAGCCACTTGTAGAGCAATGCTTGGTTACGAATGGATAAGTCAGGAACTCCCAGTCCTCCAAACTTTTTCGGTATCTTACAATACTCCCAAGACACCAAGTGCATTTTTTTCTGATCCATTGTTCTGGACCAAAGGAACCGTCGTTGGACCCTTTCCATTTCAATGATTATCGATTTTTGAGCTTGGAAAACTGTGCTCATATACATAGCTTGTGATGTTAAGACTGAATTAATGAGTGTGATCCTTCCGCCTAGAGAAAGATAATTCATTTTCCAGCCTTCTAACCATTGCAGGTGATAATTGAGGTGTTCCAACTTGTATAAGAAAGAGGAGAAGCACCAAGTGGAAATCCAAGGTAGGTAGTAGGAAGGAATTCTCAGTCACAGACAAAGATCTCGGCAAATCAAGATGGGTTTGGAACATCTCCAATCAGATATAGTTTACTCTTTTTCATATTACTTTAAGGTTGGTGATGCTTTAGAAACAAACTAGCGCTGCCAAGACACTATTTAATTCATCTTCTGTAGCATCACAGAAGATTATAGCATCATCTACGTACATTAGGTGAGTTACTTCTCCTTGCCTACGAGTTTCGTCGATATAGAATCCAATAATGAAGTTTGCCATCTTGATTCTTTGCAAGATGAAGGATAAAACATCCATTACTAGGCTGAACAAGAGAGGATACAAGGGATCTCCTTGTTTAAAACCTCGCTCCATGCCAAAGAAGCCCGCTGCTTCTCCATTGAATAGGGTCGACAACTTGGAAGAAGAAACAATCCCCTTCATCCACTTCCTTATTTTTAGATTGAACCCCATAGATTCAAGCACATTGAGAAGGCAGCCCCAGTTGGCTGAATTGAAAGCCTTCTCAATGTCTAATTTGAGGACAATCCCAGCCTTCTCACTCCTTCGTCTACTATTGATTAGTTCATTGACAATAAGACTTGCTTCGTGTATCTGTCTACCTTTAATGCCAGAGAATTGGAAGTGAGAAATTATAGATGACACAATCGGTTTCAGTTTGTCGATGATTACCTTGGAGATGACTTTGTTTAGGCTTCCAATCAGGCTGATTGGTCTAAAGTCTTTCAACTACTCCACATTCTCCTTCTTAGGAAGTAGGCACAGAAACGCATGAGCAACTAAGTGTGGCAACTCACCGGTTATGTAGAAGTCATCCAAAGCCTTCACCCAGTCACCTTTAATGACGTTTCATCCTTTCTTGTAGATCTCAAGGGTTAATCCATCTAGACCAGGGGCTCTATTACCGTTACTTTTACAGATGGCTCTCCAAATTTCATGCTCTGTGAATGGTTTAGTGATCTGCAAATTTTCCTCCATACTAACCTTGCATACACTGTACTCTTCGGGAAAGGTCTGTTGTTATTATCCTCAACAAATCTGTCTCGAAAAAAATCAGCCACTGTTTCCTTCATTTCAGCCTTCTCTTCTAGTGATCTTCCTTCCACCTTCATTTTTCAAATCCATGAAGCAAACGAGCCTTAAGTCTCTAACTAAAGGGTCCCCAGCTAACGGAAGTTGGACGGGAAAAGTTACGTGGGTGAGTTTGTTAATACTTCATTTTGAAATGAGTGTGAGTTAGTAAAAGGAAAAATACACTTGTATAGCCAAAACTTTGACGGTTTAGCCAAACATAGCCACTTTTGACGAAATGCCAAAAATAGCCACTTCCGTCCAATACTTTAACGGTGTCATCTAACATGCTGACTAGATTAATGGAAAGGTTGGCTTGTTAACTTTTTGGTCAATACCAATATGATGTGTAATTCATATAAAAACTAAAAATAAATTATCAAACATTTTTTATTTACTCTCTGCACTCTATGTTCTTTCCCCTTCCGTTCAGCTCATCTCGCTCTCCCTCTCTCCATCAAAAACATTCTCTCTCTTCGCTTCCCAATAATGGCGATTGATATCCCACCGTCATCGTCTTCGCCCAAAACGTCCTCCCTTTCCGGCCCGCCTTTTTCGGCCGCCGCACTGGTCACTCAAATTTCAATCCAAGACCTGCAATCAAACCCAAACCCATCTCAGTCGTCGTCAATCCTCTACCCCCTAAATCCTAGCTCTCGACACCGCAAAGAAGAAGTCGGTCGCCTAGACAGGGTCGAGACTCACCACCGTGGCAGCGGACGAGCCCAGATGCGTCGATGTTGGGTGAATTCCATGTCCCTTTACAAGATTCGAACGATATGCAAAATGGATATAATGAGGAATTTTTGGTGATGGCTTCAGATCTATTTTCCTCTTCTTTATTTTTGTTTTGGGGTTTGATTGTTGGATTCGGGATCAGCCTGATGAAGAACTCCGGCTATCCACCGAGCTTGTTCGTGCTCTTGAAGCGCAGGACTTGAGAGTGGAGAATGAGGAAGAGGAGAGCCGGCGCAGGAAAGGATGACTGAAACTCCATTCCCGGCCTAGTTTGGTGGCAGAGCCAGAATCGACTACCGGGGGGTTGTGCCTCGTGTTTCTGCAGAAGGAGAGCCTCTCGACGGAGGATCTCCAATCGATGGTGGGAAAAACACAGCGAATGCAATTTCAATTTCCCCCTTTCCCATCTCGGTCTCTCTGTTCTTTAATCTAATATCTTTTTCTTCTTCTCTTTCTTTCTCAAGAAAGACAGCGGCGACATGCAACAAAGGGTTTATGCAGGATCGGGAGATTGAGTTCCAGATTTGCTCTGTCCTTCAATCTCATACCTCTCTCTTCTTCTCCTTCCCTCTATTTTTTCTCTGTTTGAATGTGTTCATGTTTATGCTCAAGCGTCAAGAAATTGTATTAGATTGCGTATATGTTCTTTTGGTTGTTTTGATTCTTGTTTTCGGCTAGTTTTTTTTATGGTTTTCTGTCTGTTGATATGCCGTCTCTTCCAACTGTACACATCTCCGTCGCATCACCAGGCTATCGGCGCCGGAAATCCGCTTCTCGCAGCAGGGGAAGAGGAAGAGTTGGAGAGAAGGGCGGCGGCCACTGGCGCTGGTGGGAGAGGATGTAAAAATAATTTTGATTTTTTATTTATTTTTAAATTAAAATATGACATGGCATCCATGTGGCAAGTGTTATTGAGTTGTCGATGATGTGTCCGGTGAGTTGGCAGCCAGATCATCGTTCCGTTAATTCGACTAACGGTGTCACTGACGCCGTCAAACTATGTAACGGAAATGACTATTATTGTCATCAAACTTTCAAATTTTTTATTATTTTTTATATTTTCTCAAAAGTGACTATTATTATCACAAACGTCAAAGTTTTGCCTTAATAAAAAGCAAAAGTTATAAGCGTTGGACTGAGATTAAAAAGGCGCTCCGCAATATTCGGAGGGCGATCACAGAATCGGCTGGCGCTAGGGTTTCCTCGCTATGTCGGCGGACGTCATGCCGCCGGCCGGCAACAGGCCGCTTAAGGATACACAACCGGAGACGATCGCGGGCCAGAGGAGGCCTCCCACTGAGACGTCATCTCCAAATCCGAAAGGGGACAGGGAGGCACAACACTTGAAGAAACGTGCGAAACAAACGGCGCCGGCGATGAATGTCGATCCGCTGTACGAGGGTCCAACCAAACCAGATAGAGCTGGCACCTCCCCGCCACTGAGCCCCAGACCTAATATATGGTCTCAAGGGACAGGAGCTGCGCGCAGATTGTTCGGAGGGGAAGCCCGCATGGATGAGTGGTACACTGCTGAGTCGGATAGTGAAGACTCGGCAGCGGCGATGCGTGAGGATGGGTTGGAAGAAGGGTTTGATGGAGAGGATGACCCCACCTGCCCACCAATATACTTCACCGCAGCTGAGGAGAGGGAGTACTGCCGCAAGCTAAGATCAACCTTGATAGTGAAACCTTTGGGAAGAATAGTCTCGTATACAGCGGTGTCCATTCGACTGAATACGATATGGGCAAAGGCGGAAGGAATCCAAGTCACATCAATGAAGAACGCTACTTTCTCGTTCGGTTTACGAGTGTTCTGGACTATGAAAGAGCAGTCACGAACGGACCGTGGATGATAGGCCCGAACTATCTGTCTGTGCACATGTGGGATAAGAATTTCGACCCCTATAACCACGAAATCTCTTCAACGTTAGTTTGGGCGAGACTTCTAGATATTCCAATTCATTTCTTCCGCCAGGAGGCTGTGATGAAAATTGGGCGTCGTATTGGAAAACCAATCCGCATTGATGAAGCTACTCGAACAGCAGCAAGAAGCGATTACGCCCGAGTTTGTGTCCAAGTGGACCTTACCAGACCCTTACTATCGAAATTCTCTATAAAAGGGAAGAAGTATTTCATCCAGTATGAAGGGCTGGAGAATATCTGTTTAAACTGTGGTACCTATGCTGAAAAATGGGGCTGCTCGTGCGCCAAATCGCAGGCACCAATGGAAGCGGAGCAAACAGTACAAGAACCCGTGCCAGTGGTAAATCGAAATGAACCCCTCTACGGGGATTGGATGATCGCCAAACGCAAACCCCGGACCCAGAAGAAGGACCAAGGAGTGACTGGGAACCCTAAGGGATCCAAAACGGGTCAGGGCGCACACCAGCACGTCGGGGGTTCATGATTTGCTGCCCTAGAGGAGGAAGAGGAAGCACTAACGGGGACTGAGCACGTGGACTTTCCTAGTGAGACCAGCAACCGAGTCCACCGTCAATCGGAACATAACAAGAGCAAGAACAAGGGCCAGAAACAGTCATCACTAGCGCAGAAGGAAAAAGTGAGCCAGCCTCCCAGGGAGACTCTTAGTACAGATTCCACGAGGTCCAACTCTAATGCAGGGTCGGGAAATGGTACGGATATCCGGCCGGGTCAGCAGAAGTCGGGGCAGAGGGCCGACCATCCGACTCATGTAGACGTTGAAGCGCCCCGACCACAACAGGAAGGGGGGAATGGCAAAACAAAGGGGTTGGGGACATCCGCTACGGATGAATTACAGGGACGACCGCCGGATACCAGCCCAGACATTGGTCAAAATCCAGCTCTGGGCACAAACGAGAACACAGCGAACAGTTCCACGGGAATGCAGATCGACGTGAACACATCGTCGGCCGCGCAAACCTAAGGGAGTATCTTTCCTTTTCCAACCTGTTTTATGGATTATAAAGTTTTCTGTTGGAATTGTAGGGGTGCGGGGGGTAAAGAGTTTTTACGTGCTTTTCGGGAGTATCGTAGGAAGTCTAAACCTCATATAGTGATCATTGTGGAACCCAGAATTAGTGGGGACCGTGCTACTAACGTCATTCGTAGAATGGGCTATGATAAGGAATTAATTATCGATGTCGTGGGGTTTTCTAGAGGCATTTGGCTGCTTTGGAATTCGAGCGAACTAAATATCTCTAGAATCGACGCTAATCAACAATGTCTTCATGTGCAGGTACATGGACTATCACCTCGGGACGTTGAATGGCAGCTATCCGCAATTTATGGCAGCCCGGCTCCCATGCAACGTCGTGAACTCTGGGGCTTTTTTAGACAGTTGGCTGCGAATATTGTGCAACCTTGGCTCCTGGTGGGGGACTTCAACTCCATTCTGAGCCCGTCGGAGAAACTGGGGGGAGCCCATTTTGATGCAGCTAGAATCAGAGATTTCCAAGAGGTTGTTCAAGACACCGAGCTGATTGATCTGGGGTTCGAAGGCCCAGCCTACACCTGGTTCAGAACGGGACTCAGAGAAAGACTGGATAGGGGTCTGGCAAATAATGAGTTGGTGACGAAGTTCCCGGACACAGTGGTGAGACACCTGGCCCGCATGAAAAAATCTGATCATCAACCGATCCTGGTCTCTTTGGCAGCGCCTCACCCACCGGCAGGACCTAAGCCATTCCGATTCCTAGCGGCATGGCTAACCCACGAGGGTTTCCAGGACATGGCGGAAGAAGCTTGGGCCAGGGGAGACTCATTTACAGAGTCGGCTACAGCCTTTGCGCAAGAGGCACTGTTGTGGAATAGAAATGTTTTTGGGCACATCACTAGGCGCAAGGACAAGCTACTCCGACGACTAGAGTACCTCGAGCAGGTTGGGGGTGGACAGGGCAATGAGGCCCAACTCCGACAGTGTCAGGAGGAATTAGAGCTGGTTTTGTTTCAAGAAGAGCTCCTGTGGTGTCAAAAATCCTGTATGGAGTGGATAAACTCGGGGGACAAAAACACGGCGTACTTTCACACCAGAACACTAAGGCGGAGAGCCAGAAATCGGGTTACTATGCTCAAGGATGAGGGGGGAAATTGGGTAGAAGACCAGTCCGCCCTACTGGAGATGGCGCGAGTATTCTTTAGCAGTCTATACCAGGACGAAGGAGGAGACCTGCTAGGCCTTCTGGAGGGCTTCCCGACACTGGAGGGATCTCGCGGGCAGTAGCTTGATCGTGCGCCAAGCTTGGATGAAATTTATGCAGCGGTGAAAGCGATGGGACCTTTAAAGGCCCCGGGCAAAGATGGGCTAAGCCCGATATTTTTCCAAAGATGCTGGGCGACGGTGGGATCCTCTTTAGCAAGTTTCATCACCGACTGCTGGAATACACCGGAAAGAGTCAAGGAAATAAACTCCACAGTTCTCGTGCTGATCCCGAAGATAAAGCAGCCGATTACCATTGATCAATTTCGGCCGATCAGTCTTTGTAATGTGGCGTACAAGGCAATCACGAAGTGCCTGGCCGAGAGATTGAAGAACCTTATGCCGGAGCTGGTCCATGAAACCCAGTCTAGTTTCGTTCCGGGACGTCACATCACCGATAACATATGCATCCTTCAGGAGGTAATCCACTCGATGAGAGCCAGGAAGGGTAGGCGAGGATGGATGGTCCTAAAGGTGGACTTAGCAAAGGCGTACGATAGAATTAGGTGGGGATTTGTAAGGGATACTTTAGTTGCGGCAGGGGCCCCAGATAAGTTTGTGGAGTTGACTATGGCCTGCATCACTTCGGCGTCAATGCAAATACAGTGGAACGGGGGCCTCACGGAGAGCTTCCAACCATCCAGGGGTCTACGACAGGGCTGCCCCCTCTCCCCGTACATTTTCACCTTGTGCATGGAGAGACTGGGGCACATCATCGCCGAGGCAGTTCGGGCGGGAAGGTGGAAGCCAATCAAGCTATCACAGGATGGTCCGACCCTATCGCATTTGTTCTTCGCGGACGACCTGATTCTGTTTGGCGAGGCGACAAGATCACAGGCACAAGAAATAAATGCATGCTTCGAAAAGTTTGGAGGATCTTCGGGCCAGCAGATCAGTAGGCCGAAATCCCGGGTATTCTTCTCGCCGAATACTACTGCGGATTGCCAGCAGAGCTTGAGCCAAGAACTCCACATCCCAGTGACCACGAACTTGGGAAGGTACTTGGGGGTGCCGGTTATTCATGATCGCGTCTCGAAATCTACCTACCTGGAGCTCATCGATCGGATTGATAAACGGTTGGCCGGCTAGAAGGCATCTACCCTGTCCCTAGCTGGCCGAATCACATTGGCGCAGTCGGTTCTGGCTTCTCTGCCGGCCTACTTGATGCAGACGACTTGGTTGCCGGCGAGTGTGCGGGAGTACATAGACAAGAAAATTCGCGCCTTCATATGGGGTAGTACGGAACAAGGCCGGAAGATCCATCTCATTGATTGGGAAACGCTTTGTAAACCAAAGGAAGAGGGGGGTTTGGGGCTCCGGGACTCCACCAGAACTAATGAAGCATACATGCTCAAACTAGCCTGGAGGATGCTTACCAAACCACATGAATTGTGGGCGAGAGTTCTCCTGGGCAAGTACTCGAGGCAGACGGGGGAGGGGCGCCATTTTCGTACCCAGGGCAGAATCTCTAATCTGTGGAGAGGGGTTGCTCCAGTGGCTCATTTGATCGAGGAAGCTACCTGCTGGAATGTCCACAATGGACGGACAGCAAAATTCTGGAGCGAGCGCTGGCTGGATGAGCATACAATCCTCAAAGAGCACGCGCCCAACCTGCCACCGGAGCTCCTGGATATGCCTGTCATCGACTTTGTTCTCAATGGTAAGTGGAATTCCGACTTTCTGCATTACTACTTACCTCATGATCTTGTTTCGCAGATCACCCTGCATCCGGTGCCGGCGGAGGAAATGGAGGACACTCGAGCCTGGTGATTTAACCCCAACGGAGAGTTCACCCTACGATCGGCGTACGAGCTCACGGGCGACTCGGTCGAGCCGAACCTGGGACAGCAAGCCTGGCGAGCGGTTTGGAAGGCCGCGACGCTGCAACGGGTGCGGGCCTTCTTGTGGCTGATGAATCACGGACGACTTCTTACAAACGCAGAGAGGGCACGACGACGTCTCACCAATCAAGCGGACTGCAAGATATGTGGGGGCGGACCGGAGACGACTCTACACATAGTAAGGGACTGTCCCTTTGCTCGCGCGACATGGGCGGACTTGCTTGAAGACGAACCAGATTCCAGATTCTTTGAAACCGACGGTCAGAGATGGAGCCTTTTTTATTTATCAGGGCGGAGTAATACCATTGATGCTACCTTGTTAGCAGGAACCTGTTGGCTGTTGTGGAAGAACCGGAATGACTTCGTGTTCTAGGACAAGCTGAAGACCCATATACAAATCCAGTTCAGAACTAAACAGCTCCGGGACGACATTACCAAAGCACTTGAACATGAGAGAACAGTTTTCGGGAATGGGGGCACCCGAGAGCAGCGCCTAGTTGGCTGGCAACCACCTGCGCAAGATTGGGTCTGTATCAACACTGACGGCTCAGTCATCCACTCTCCGGAGAGCACATCCTGTGGCGGCATCATGCGGGGGAGTGATGGCCGTTTCATCAGAGCTTTCACTGCGAACCTTGGGGGGTTCTATTACTCGTGCGGAGCTGACTGGTATTGTGTATGGGTTGGATCTTGCTTGGGAACAAGGAGCCAGGAAAGTTCTTCTACAAACAGACTCAGTGACTGCCAAGACCCTGATCGAGAATGCGACCGAGAGACATATGCACTTCTCTCTGATCAGCGAGATTAGGAGGAGACTGCAACGAGACTGGACGGTTCGAATCGACCACATCTTCCGCGAGGCGAATTTTGCAGCGGATCACCTAGCGTCTATAGGACATTCGGAGACGATTGGAGTTCATGTAATGGCTAGTCCATGTACTTCTCTGCTGTACTGGCTGTTTTTTGACCGGGTGGGAATTGAAACCCCCCGACTAGTTAGCATGCAATAAAGTTTGGGCGCACTTGCGCCCTGTTTTTACCAAAAAAAAAAAAAAAAAAGAGCAAAAGTTGATGGGCTTGTTAGCTACTCGAGACAAAGTAGAGAGGCAGAGGCTTAACCCAAAAGCGTAATAGTAACCCTAGTTTAGTTTCTCTTCCTCGCGAATTTTGTATCCTCACGCCAGGACGTCAGCCGAGTTCTATTCTACGGGAAGAGTCATCTCTCTGATCTTCGTTGTCGATCGGATTTCAGAATGGTAAGTCTCCCCCCAAGTTTACTTCTGAGTTTCATCTTATTCATGATTCTGTAAGCTTAGATTATCTTACGCGGATTCGTTTTTTTGTGATGGATACTGCAGGCGGATTCTCCTTCTCAAAGGTGAGGCCTCTCTGCTTTCGATCTCTCTGTTTGCTTTACTTCTGGATAATCGACATGCAGTCAATCAATTTGTCTCCTCTCTTCCTCTTAAATGGTTTTGTTTCTTGGCCGCGCTCTACTGGCGGAGCTCTTCAGCTCGCTGTCCGCTCTCATTTTAATCGTTCCATTAATGTTGTGTATACCAGGCTCCACTTTTACAATTGTTGCTAGTGGTTTTGGTCTATGGCTGTTTTGGGAGATACTTCTCCATTGCTCACTTGTGAATTGCGACTTGGTGATAAATTTTGTGTATCTTCATTATTTTGTGTTGAAAGAGGTTGAAAACCTGTTCTTGTATCGTTATACTTGAGTTGGTGTTTAGGATTTGTTTACCACTTCTTATATATGGTGATGATTGTACAAGGAACCACCATATATGAGCGCCTTGTTATGTATGTGATGTGCAGTCCATCTAGCTCTGTGTTGTGCCAGTTCTTTTGATGCCCTTAGCATTTTGCTGTGGCAGGAACTCACGGTCTCCATCTCCTTGGAGAGGCCAGTCAAGGTCTAGATCCCGGTCTAGGGCCAGGTCCAGGTCTAGATCATTGGACAGGCCGAAACATAGATCGCGCTCTCGCAGTCGTGGCAGGTACTCTTGATGGACTTCATTATTTCATTATTATCATTGCAGTTCATGTCCGCGCTAGGTGCGTTGGTACTTATCCTTTCCCCTTTGCTCTTGATGGCTGATTTCCTCTGCTTTACTGCATCCAGGAGTCGTGGCAGTTTAGTAGCTTCTCTGCAGTATTCTGCTTCAAGAGTATTTGCTTAATATGATAGACTCTCAGTTGTCATTAATATTCTGTCACGTTTGTCAGGGTTGAGGCTGTTAATCCAGGAAACACTCTCTATGTGACTGGCCTCTCTACAAGGGTCACTGATAGGGAACTCGAAGATCATTTTGCAAAGGAGGGAAAGGTCTGTCTTCTTGCTGCATTAAACAGATCCATGGCGGATGTCTTCTTCATCTTCATACATTGTATATTTTCCTTGTGTATCTTCTATGTGCCTAACTGGAAAGTTAACTTATTTAATCTTTGCATATATGTTATTAAAGAAGTGTCTTTGGTTTATTAGGTTGCCTCATGTTTCCTTGTTGTGGAGCCCCGTACGCGCATTTCTCGTGGGTTTGCTTTTGTCACGATGGACTCTGTTGAGGATGCGAACCGTTGTGTTAAGTATCTGAACCAGTCTGTTCTGGAAGGACGATATATAACTGTGGAGAAGGTATTGTTACAGCCTGTGTTTTCGGCTTTAATTTATTTTCATTGTATATATCTTTTTGACTCAAGTGTTTTCAGGTCGTACTCAGTAGACATTGCATCAGCTTTTTCGCAGCAATCAAAGATGATCAATTCATCCATGTCAACTTAGTGAAACAGCCTGATCATGGACAGCTGAAACAGCCGTTTTCAAATGCTTGTGATCAACTAACGTAGCAACTATATTGTTCAACACTATACCACTTCAGCATTCAATTTCAACTCAACTAATCAACGGACATTTCCAACAACTTTCTAATCAGGCTTTATGGTATTGGAAACCTGGAACTCATTTAATGGAAAACTATGACCTGGTGCTTCTCCTTTTCTTTTAGTGGAAGACCTTTTCCCCCCTTCATTTTGGCTTTTCATTTGTATATATGGACCTGCATTTCCTTGACCATGCAGTCATGGAGCTTTTTGTGTTTCTGCTTGTTGGAAATGGGGGTTTCTATGTTGCTATTAAGAAATTGCTAGTCATTGTAACAAAAAAACAACTGAAGTAGTTTATCATTGACCTTGCAGTCTCGGAGGAAACGACCAAGGACTCCAACTCCAGGACATTATCTTGGTCTCAAGAACACAAGGGATGGTATGTTTAGCTCATAAACCTTACTTGCTGAGCATATTCGTAGCTGTGGATTTGATGTTTTAGTATCCTAACATAGTTGCATTTGGTGCTTTTCTAGAGGGACCTCGTGATCGTGATCGTGGTAGGTACCGAGGCGGTGGTGGAGGGGGTGGCTATGGTTATGATGATTACCGTAGGTCCCCGAGGCACGATGACTACCGTAGGTCTCCAAGGCGGTCCCCATATGGAGGTGGCGGTCGTGACTATTCTCCTCCTCCTAGGCACTCTCCTTATGGCGGTGGGAGATCAAGGAGGTACCGGTCAAGGTCACCTTAAACTCCCTCTCGCTCTATTATATTCTCTTTAAGTTTTCAGAGAGGATAACCATGGATGTAGCCATCCAGTCCAGACCTGCGAGTTAGTGCAGATAGGGGGAGAGGTGTCTGTACTTGTTTGAGCCGGGCTTGTAGTGAACAGGAGGATTAGCCTTTTCATGATGTGGATTTTTGTGTGTTGGTGTAACCCAAATATACTGTGGCTGCTGTCGTTATGCCAAGTTGCTAGACAAGCTGCTCAACAGCTCAGCGCTTTGTCTTTCATCATTAGTCTGGAAGCGTATGATTTGTTTGGTGTGTTAGGGTCTGGGGTTGTCGTACGGAGAGTCGGGTTTGCTTAAAGCGATCATCAGCATCTTGTGCCTTTGAAGGAGCCTTCTGCTTCAGTTGCTGCTCATCTTTTACTTAATCCAGTTTCTGGCAATTAGATCATCCTATCAAAATCGCGAGCTGCAGTTGAAATAGGTGGATTCTGGTTCTGGTTCTGGTTCTGGTTCTGGTTCTGGAAAAGAAAATCCTTCGATCGCTCTTAGGTGTAATGAACTGCATACTTGGAATCAATTGAACTTTCGTTTATCCTTTTGCTGTCAAACGTGTAACTATATATTGCCGAAAAGAGACTAACGTTAGGTGAATTGAACCTTGGTCTCTAGCTAGTGACCCGCATTCCGATCTGCTTTGAATAATTCAGGATTTCAGGTTGTACGTAACGTACCTACTGATACGCCGGTTAGCTTTCAGGCCCATTTATCTGTTCAAATTATCATTCTCAATTGTTTGATTTGATAGGAAAACTGAATTATAGATTTTATACGTTATTTTACATGCCTCTCAAAGCTCAAATGAAAACCACTTACACGTTAAAAATTTACACAGAGTCACTGTAGTTAATATTTAAATCAAGTATAAATGTTGGGAATTGTGGATATTTGAAGAAAAATATCACTTGACAAAAATTTGATCTCTAAATAAAAATCAGATATGATGCCATGATGTCCACGTAGGACAGAATGAAACCAACTCTCTATATAATTACACAGAGACTAAAGGGGTCGCAAATAGTAAGAATCCCGAGACATTGCGTATTGGCGTTACTAAGATGTTTCACCCGAGAATGAGATGATCAGCTAGCGTTATTGTTGTCCGATTACAAGTAAAGCATTTGCATATCATCAATAAGCCATTCATGAAAATAAGGTATAGTTAAATTAATATATAGCGGCCGGACAAATTAAAACACACCACTTAATTAATTAACTCCCTTTGACTAGCTTTGTTCCTTGTTGGTTGACTTCTGTAATAAAGAAGAAGAGCTAGCCAGCTTTGAACATGGCCGCACAAGAAACTTAATAATTCCAACCTAGCTAGCAAGCTAGCTAATTGATCAAAAGTCAAAACGCGAGGCGAGGACAGAATCTAAATTAAAACCAGAGTACACAACACAGTACAGTACAGAGCAGAGCAGAGCAGAGCAGTAATTAATGAGATGAGACCATGCATGCACGTAGTACTAAACACAGAAACAGCAAATTAAATTACGACTCTCGATCGACAAACGAGGCACTAGCTACTACGTACGTACCATCAAACAACAACGTTACAAACACATGCATGCATGCACACTGTGGTGATGACACTTAAAAACAACATTAATCAACCTTAAATCATTATTAGTTACGCTACTCCCGTTAACTAATTAAGGACACGGGAGAAGGCCGCCAGCTGCACCGCCGACTCCACCCAGCCCTCCGATCCCGCCGTAGTGGACCCCACCCAGCACCGGAAAGCCGCCCACGAACCCAGCGTACCCGCCAACGCCGCCCCCGTATATGAAGTTCTTCCCATCCTCAACCCCAGCACCACCGCCTGGCGCCGGCGCCACATCGAAAGTCGAGGTCTGCACCACTGCGTCGGCCGCGGCCTTGGCCTTGGCCTTGGGTATGCAGGGGAGAAAAGTCTTCTGGTCGGCGGCCGCAGCGGTGGTGGTGGGGACGGGTCTCGCACTTGCATGGACGAGCCATGCGAAGAAGAGGAGGGCGAAGAAGGAGGCGTAAGGCCTTGCCATTGTACAAGTACAACTAGAATATTATATTGCTTTGCTTTGCTTTGCTTTGTGTGGGTGCAAATGCAATATAACAATATAATGAAATGTGGTGGGAAGGGGATTGTGTATTTATACTATAGATAGGAAGGGAAGGGAAGGGAAGGGTGGGTGGCAGTTGAGAGGCTAATAAATGAGAATGAGACATTGCATGCTGCTCCAGTTTAGTAAACTGTAACGGAATTTAATTTGGGGTTTTGGGGGGGGGGGGGGGGGGGGTGTACTACTGTATGCCATGGGATCAATATAATAATAATAATAATAATGGAGTGAGCTAGCATCAAAAGAAGTGAGAAATTATTTATCAAGGTGGTGGGGAGGAGTCAAATGGAAAGGAAGAGGTGTGGGGCTCTGGCGTGACGTGGTGTCGATCAAATAACTTACTTGCCACAAGGAAAGAACGTGGATTGATACCGATGGGAATGAGATAGCATGCCTACCATTAAATTAAAAGGTTTGGAAAAATGATATTCTATTAATTATAGATTTTTAAGGTAATTAATTGGGAGTTGCTAATTGTCGTCCTAATTTGACTTAATCGCCCTAACTTACAAATTATTATTACCCTTTTATCCTTCTCATATTTTATTGTTGAAAATTTTATTCTAATAAACAAAATTCCGTCCAAACAAATTCGACATTAACTACGGTTTTGATTTCCACCACCGCCTACCCTGACCCGCCGCCCGCCACCATGTCAATCGAATGCGAACATAGGACGTTTCTCTCGGTACATCCCGCAACCTACCTACTTATAATCCAAAATAGAAATCATGCAAACCCATCATCAAATTGATCATTGCAAATTAACCCAGTACGTTGAATATCAAAACAAAGCTTCTGCCCAAATTCATAACAGAATTTGTGGAGATTTTCGGGTACAATTTCTTGTGGTGGAGTGGGTATGATAACTCTCGCTAGTCTTCCTGGTTCCACTGGCGGAATTTGGGATGGTTTTGAGAGAATACGAAAGATTACTGAAAAGGGGAACATGTGAATTGACTAATCATTTAGCTTCTCTTTTTGGTGTTAATTGTGGCAAATGGAAGGATGGCGCTAACTATAGATCGGTTGATTGTCAACGCTCTCTGTATTTTCAGGACATCGATTATATATATAGCAATCACAAACAGTAGCCGGCTGTGCCGTTCAGGACAGAGGAATTCTACCACTCAAGCGGCATGACAGAGGAGGGTCGATTGGAGCCCTCTCAGTAGGCTACAGAAGGACTGATGGAGTTCAGATTTTTCAACTACGGAGGTGGTTTCGAGTGAATTGCAGGTTCTCGACGGTGGAGCTGGGTTGGAGGGTGGCTCTCGTTGGGAAGAAGATGAAGGCGGATTAAAAAAATGAATTTTAGGGTTGTTTGTTAAAGGTTAATTTAGTAATTTTATATTTTAAATTAGGGCGATAATAATAAAGTTAGGGCGAGATTTAGCCATTCAGAATTAATTTGTGTTTCATTTAATAATCTGTATGAATTAAAAATACATATTAATTACTTTTTTTTTCAGTGCACCGGTAGGGCTTAGGATAGGGTGAGTAACTAATGGTTGACCTATAAGTAACTAAATCTGGAACTTTAGATCTAAGTGGGTCCAGAAAATTCAGATCTAAGGGTTGTCAATTAAAGACATTTGACTTTTCCTAGTTTTCTTAATCGGTTATTATCTTCTTCGTTCTAACTCGGATTTTTTTTTTTGCACAGATAGAACGAGTTCGTTGTGCTCTACAAAATGAGATCAATTTTCAATATATTTCGAGAATTTTTTTTACCAACTACATACCATATGGTAACTTCTTCGTTTTTAACTCGTTTTTGAAAACGTTTGCTCAGAAGGAACAAGTTCATCATGATCTATTGGATCTATAGATTTCTGGGTGAAAAAAATACTGGATAAAAAATTATCATACTTTACCACTATGGTGTGTGAGTGGTAACTTGTGGTAACTTGTAGTAAACGATGATGAAAGTCGTAAATGACAGTCAGTATACTCCTACTATCATGTATTTAACTTTCTTACCATATTGGTATGTTCATACCATCATGTTACGCTTTCTTACCATATGGTATTAAATAGGAGCATACCATATGGTAATGACTGGTAAAAAATTATTCAGTTTTTTTTACTAAAAATATATCAAAGTGGATATCATTTTAAAGAACACATTTAATCTGATTTATCTGTGCAAAAAATTAAATTTCGACTTAAAACGAGAGATAAATCGTTCGTTAAAGATTAAAGGGGAAAAGATAAAAGACTTTTCAGGAGAGAGAAGATACTGATGTCATGCTGATGTGGACATGTTACTCATGGTTACTGACCGTAGAGTTACTGACCTGATTCGTTCCTCACTGGTAGTTGTATCAGTGCAATGGTAGATGTATCATTGCAAAGGTAGTTCCAGAAAAGAAACGTAATTAATATGAGTTCAGTATAAAGGTACAATGGTAGTTGTATCAATGCAATGGTAGTTAAAAAATGAAGGTAATTAAGATGAGTTTTTAATTTTCAAAGATTATTAAATGCAACATGAATTTAATACAAAAAATAACTGTAATTAATAAGGGTGTTATTTTTCGAACCCTTAGAAAGATTAGCATGCTATCAGATCCCAGGCAGCTGAAGCTAGTGGTGTAGAAATAGAACGTGGATTGATATGCATGGTGATTACCGATCGATAACCTGTCCTTTATGGATTGGATTGGATTGGATTGGTGAGCAAGCAAATCTCCCATCCCATAGTTTTTCACTCTAGCTACTTAATTGAATGCGGCGGTCTGGTGGAAAGATGAATCTCAGGGTTAATTTGCATGTTGTGGGATTTGTCCGTCTGGCCGGCGGCACCCCAAACTGCCCGGGTTAGCTATCCATCTACTGTACGTATGTTATGTATTAATTGTGAGCGAATGAATTGAATGGTATGGGTTAATTGCACCATCTGCCACTGAAATTAACTATTTGTTGCACGTTAACCATCTAAGTATTTTAGGTTGCAACTAAACCATTTACATTATCTTCTTGTTGCAACTAAACCATTTTCGTCCAACAAACTAACAGTAGGTGCCCAACGGTAATTTTCCATGCCACGCAAACTGCCACATCAGCTGATGTATGATGAGTCACCTGTGTGCCAGCATCCATTTAAATGGACCCATTTTATTACTCTTCTTTTCCCCAATTCTTCCCAAAAAAAACCCTTCCAGAATCGCAAACCACCCCATTAGAAACCAGAGCTGTAAATCTCTTCCCCTCTTCTCATTCTTACACCAATCCTCTTCTATTCTATTCTCTTTAAGTCCTAAATAAAAACAAACACTATAAGTATATGTAACTAAATAACATATATTGACATTTACAGAAGCAAATTGTTGCTGCAAAATGGCAGGAGAGGAAAAATGCAGCAACCTTTAATTGCAAAACTCACCATATATCGGAATTTGGTCAGTTTCCCCTACTTCCCTAATGCTTGGACGCATTTTTTAAACTCGAACGACAAGAAAACACGAGCTTGGAATGGTTTAACCTGCATTTTCACCCATTGATCAGCCGATAACGAAGATGAAGAACAAAGTCGAAAAACAGAGCAAGAACATCAGTCGACAACGAAGAGGAAGAACATCGCCAAAACAGAGCAAGTACAAAGTCGAAAAACAGAGCAAAAAAACTCACCTATTGCTCCATCAGTCGACAACGAAGAGGAAGAACATTGCCAAAGATAGCTTCGTCAGTCGTTTTGATTCCCTGCCAATAAGAAGCAAAGGATCAGAGGAAGAACCATGTAATTACAATTGCAGGAGCTTGCGTAAGAGGAACAAACAGAGTATTGCAGCGGGGCAGAGATAAATTACCGTAGCAGCTTGAGCCAATCTTTCTTCCTCCTTGGTGCGATTGTCTCAGCAAGTAACAACCTGGGTTTTTTTGTTTCTTATGTTTTGGGAAGGCAGCCGACGTTTCAGCTCCTGGAATGTACAAGTCTCCTGTCAACCTCTGCTTCTATTGCTGATTGCAGGAGATGTTTGGGTTTTGTGGTCCATTTAAATGGATGATGGTCCACGGGTGACTCATCATGCATAAGCTGATGTGGCAGTCCGCGTGGCATGGAAAATTACCGTTGGGCACTTACCGTTAATTTGTTAGACGGAAATGGTTTAATTGCAACAAGAAAGTAACGTAAATGGTTTAGTTGCAACCTAAATTACTTAGGTGGTTAACGTGCAACAAATAGTTAACTTAAATGGTAGATGGTGCAATTAACCCGAATGGTATGTATGTATCAAATTAAATTAAAGGAACACTGCCCCATTCCCATTGGGGCCGGCTCTTCCTAATCATTAATCAAGACTCACTTTTATCAAAGCTAGCTAGCTAGCTACGTATTAATTAGTCAACTGGAATAGAAATGTTGTTTCCAGTGAAGGATATATAATAATATTCAATCTCCATCTTAATTAACAATATAATAAAAAGATTGAGTGTTAAATATGCTTAACCTCCACGATATATTTGGGTAAAATAAGTATAATTAATAAGGATAAAAAAAAATAACCAAATGATTTTGTATCTTATGTCGATGGTGTAAAATCTCCAGAAACCACCTTTATTATCAGGCTTAAGTAAGCAATTGGTGTAAAAATTCTGTTGTATGGTATTTTATGGTTCAATCATTTCATATTTCTAAAAATCGTCTATCGATTTATGCTTTGATAGGCGGATTTCTCGATCGGGCCACCAATATGAATATGATACGATTTTACAAACACTCTTTCATATATAATTCCAAGAGATAAAGACGAGTAAAACACAAGTAAAATGGTCATTTATTGTCATTTGTAAACACTTAATATTTCTATCTAATCCGTGAAATGTTGAGCTACATCCTTCGTACTAGTTTTGACTACGCGAAACTCGGATCCAATGCTACGAGGTAACCAGTAAATCACCGACAAGTTCTCCGGTCAACAATTACTTGTAAGTATGCACCTACTAATCAAACTTAACAATTGAATCTCCACTCTCCAATCTTCAAAATATTGCTGGAAATCGGTCGTTAGAAGAAGAAGAAGATGGTGATGTTGTTGTCGGCATTGGGATTGAATAAGTACTCAACTCTCTCCAGGCTACTCCCCGCCGGAGCTGGCCAGCTGAGGGTTCTTCTTATCACTCATTCCTCACCTACCCTCCCTTCTTATTACTCTTCTAAAGTGAGTTAATTTGAACGAAGAAGACAATTAATATACTATCATCGGTTCTTTTCCCGGCGTTTTATCGTGTGTTCTTTTTGTGGTTCAAGAAAACACGTTTAAATTTACATTTAGGTACTAGGTAATATCCAAACGTCTCGTCTCGGGATTCCACGGTGGCTTAGGAATAAAAAAACACATCAATAAGACATTTAGGTGTTGCCCAGGGATAATTAGAGTGAGCTAAGTAGTCCATATCAAGGGGGAATAAACATAATTTCTATCAATAATTTCAATAGTTCAAGATCTTTATAAGCTATTGAGCTATGATTGTATGAACTTGTGAGCATTTTTTCTTGTTGTAAAAGTGTTAAGTCAGTTATTTATTATTCGAATTGAAATATAGAGTGTTATATATTGTTATTTCAATAGTTATGAGTATAAAATACTAATTTTTCTCTCAACACCAAAACACACTTGGACAACGCTTAAGAGAACTAATTGTGAAGCAAAGATCACAATGTCGATCCTTTCGCCTAACACCTTTTTAACCTTGGTTCTGTCTGATATTTATAATTTGATACTTGCTTGGCAGGAAGAGGCTGAAGATGACGAAGAAAAGGCAAAGCAATCCGGCAAGAAATTCAAAGAAAGGTTAAGCGACGTCAAGACTGCGGCCAAATTCGTTAGAGATGTCGCCAACTCCGACACTGATTCGGTAAGCTTGCTCCCTCTGTTACATATTTAAGGCCAGTGGGCTCAGACTGCGTCTTGGCCCAGGAGTGAGTGGGCTCTGGGCCTTAAGTAGTGGGCTGGATTGGTGGAGTGGGAAGTGGATTGGGATTTTGAGCCCAAAATAAGAGTAGGGATAGGAAGTCGAGGAACATACGATAAACTTTGGCAGCATGTTCTTTTTAGCTTGATTATTCCTAATTCAAAATCATCTGAAATTTAGAAACTCCCTGAAAATCATAAGATACGAGATTATGGGTAGTTTGGTTTTGGTAATTGTTTGGTTGGGATAGTTACAAATTACAATCAATACATTGTCCACAATGCATCATCTTTTTGAATTTTCTGCACAAATAATACATGCATTGTTTGCTTGATTTGACACAAACTATCACTCAGAGTGATAATTAAATCTCAAGTTTTTGTTGAGATTGTTTGATTGAGATTGTTGTGCTTTATTTTCTTCCAACTATGTCCCTAACTTTTTATGTGTATTGCTTTTGTATATTAAAAACAAAGGGTAAAAGTAACATTTCACCCAAAAAGTAATATAACTTATTTAAATAATACAATAACTATCACAAAAATCAAACGATGTAAACTACAATACACCAATTTTCATATATACATGTATATTATTATGCATGCATTGATGACAATGCATCTATTTAACTATCACCAAAACCAAACTATATACCTTATGTCTTTATCCCAATTGATAGTATTATTATCATTTGATTACTTGCAAAATTTGGGGGGAAAAGCTCAGTACAAAATGGACAAAGACACCAAGGAAACAATCACGAAAATGAAAGAGGCAGCTGAGACTGTGAAAGACGGGGTGAATGACGTGAAGAAGACCACCAAATTTGTGCGCAACATTGCCTCTTCCACGGCTGACACGGTAAATTAATTCCTTTTTACTTTGACCAAAAAATTCCTCACTCTTATCACTTGGGTTCAATATGAAACCTCTTCCTCGTGTGGTTTGGAAATTATTAGGTGAAGAAGCTGGCGAAAGAGGCTACAGACAAAGTATCAAACTCGGCGATTCAAGCCACCACTGAAATTGTCAAGGACAAAGTGAAGGGGAAATTTGATTGAGCCGTTTTGGGTTTTCATTTGAACCGAGGAAAATGTACGCTTTTACGAGTCATGACCATACACTTATTTCTCCATTATGATTCATCGAAGGATTAGTTGTGTTTCAATCTTATTTGTAGGTCCACTACAACAATTTTCGTCTATTGTGACAGCAACATTTTGTCATAATAGGACCAAATTTCGTCATAATAATGTTATTTTGACAAAAACATTTGTCATAATGTTCGTCAAAATTACCTCGTCGAAACAACTTTATTATGAAAAAATTTTAATGTCTTGTCACAATATGCTTCAATGACATGATGGACAAATTTTTTCATTATAAGACCCTCTATTTTGACAATATTTTCTCGCAATAAAGAGATATTTTTTCATAATACGATCAAATATTTTCACTATAGTTACAAATTTCAAAATATTATTGTGACAAATGATACCGTTTTGACAAATGATTTTGTTATAATAATTTGTCATAATATCTAATTTGAGGTTCTTGTATCAAAATCGTTTTTTGTCAAAATAAGTTGTCATGATAGACCATTATTGTTTTTTTTTTTTTTTGCATATTATGATTAGCAATAATCTGTATATTTTGTGACGAAACCTTTTTGTCATAATCTAACAAGCTAATTTAGTCACCATATCCAAAAATTATGATAAATAACACAATTGTCATGAATATTGAAGGTAACATAAAATATTCAATAATGCCAGTCATAATCCTTAAATAACAATCTTGCAAAGTAACATGATATTATATTCTTCATATTGCCTCCATTTTTTCCATTTTGAAGAACAACCCAACAACAAGTTCATCTAAAAAGATATTTCTACAGACAACCAAAAGTTTTAACAGACCATTATGCATCTGCTCCCTGTTATTACTCAAGCATCTAGCTTTCTCCAACTTCCTTCACTTTGGCATGGACTAGGCTTTAGACTAGTTGTGTGGCACATGATCAGGAGCTGAACCAAAGAGCTTTACGAGCATTCTTAGGACCCTTGAGAAGCATCTGCAAAAATAAATACAAACCTACCGAGAGCTTTGACAAAGAGTGTATTCATAACCCAATCAAAATATATATTCACTGTACATTAGTGAAGCGAGCTCACCTTAATGTTCATGGATGGTAGCTTTAGAAGCAAGCTGATTAACTAGTCAAGCATTCACCACCGACCTTCTTCATTCTAGCTTTGGCATGTATATTTCCACGTAAACTACACATACCGAAGATAAGAAGTAACAAAACAAAACAATCATTCTTATAAGTGAAATGACATGCAAAGAGAACGTTAACTGTTGGGTTTGCAGTCTGATGGCCTAAGAGCTGAAGAGAGAAGAAAGTTTCTAGCAAACGTTCCAACAAAATAGGTTCCTAACTGACATATATATGCCTTTAAAAAAGTCAATTACCTGGAAGTCTGGAACAACTCGGAAAAAATTGCAGTAAAGCAGTTATAATTTCAGAGTATCCTACTCTGAAATTATTAGCTTCAAGTATTCTCGAAATCTCGTTCCTGATTCATATGACATGAAGAAAAGATATTCAATTTACTTCATGATTGATATAAAGTCCTTAGATCTATAGAAATGCCCTGAAAAACCTATCACACCAATCATATCACCCACAAAAATGATTGTTTCATATAGAAGCATAGCATACATTTGAACCATTTGAGCGAACATCCAAAACAACATCCAATGATGTTAATTAAATGTGTGTGCAAGACCGAGCCAAGAAATTTCTAGAGGAACAAAATATAATACCTTACCAAGTTTCCTTTCAAGGCAGGAGTGCCAGAGTACTGGATGCTTATAAGTTATAACAAGTCAGCCCAATGTAAAATCAACAAAACAATAAGACATTGAAAAGCCAAGTTAGGTGACAACGAGTTAGTACTGCAATGAGGAGGGGAAAAATGATGCCTTGTAGTCTTGCCTTTCATCTATATTAGTCTCACTCAGTTAGCATATGAACTGGAGCCAACACCATAAGGAAATATATGTGTTCAATGACTTCCAACCCCCTTAGAACCTCCATTGGTGTAGCTAATCCTCCACTTAAAGCCGGAGAATTTTGTAATTGGCATTCCATTGTCGAGGAACGAACAGTTGAGAACTTAACTAACCTATTGGCCATCACAATTAGAAAAGTAAAATTCAGAGGAAGGGCATGCAACTAACAGCTTACGAGCAAAAACCAAACTCGATTCAACAACTACTTTCACCAATAGGGATAAATTACATCGACCTTCCGTCATCCGCTCAATGGAGTAGTGCTACGGAATTGCTGCTGATGCTGCGTTGATAGCGTCGGAGATTAGGATGTTGAGGCGAGAAGGATAAGACAGGGCAGGGAGAGGGGAGAGAGTTGCTGAACGAAGGAGGGAACCGGAACGGCAACGACAATTGTGGTCTCCCATTCGTGACGGAGACAAGGCAGGGAGATAGGAGAGGGCAGTCGGAGGGAGATGGCGCAGGAGGAGGAAACTGGGACGGGGTGACATCGGTAGTCTCCCAGTCGGTGGCACAAAGAGCGCAAGGGAAGAGTAGAGAGCTTCTTCTGGTTCTGGATTGGGTGAGGGTTGAGAGGTGGCGGCAGTCTATTCAAGTTGGAGAGAGTGGCGACAATCGAGTAGTCGACATAGGGGCTTAGTTTAGGTGGATTGGGGGATGGAGGGTACGGGTACGAGTGAGGAGAGGGTCGGGTATGTGCTAAACCCGAATCGAATCCAACCCGCAAAATAGTGAAACGGATTTTACCTTGAACCCAACCCAAAATTCATTAACGTGGGTATTATTTCGCTTTGACAAGGATGGGTTGGGCTAGCTACTCATAGGTTCGGGTTACGTTGCCATCCCTAATCTTAAGTAAATGTCAAGAGGTGGGCAGTGGGCTAAACAACATAATTTGTCATCATAAATACCAACGATTTTATATTGTGGCAAAATCACTTTTGTTACATATTACATTTTATGCTTTCCCCCACAAGTTCACGCCAAATCAATATCTCCACAAAATTTTGTAAAAAGTATAAATTTCATATTACATAAATTTATATGACCAAATATTTTGTCATAATATAAATAAATATTTATATATTTTCACAAACCCAAAATTTGTTACATTAAACATTTCATCTTAGTGACTAAGTACACACATTGTTATATTATATGTAAATTTATGATACTATGATAAAAGTATTTATCATTATAAATGTGATATCATAAATAATGTGAAACGATATTATGACGAATATCCAGTCACTTTATAATCTAAGTCTGTCTTCCTACTAACTATTTTTTGACAAAATGCTATTGACACATTAGTTTTGCCATAATATTAAAAAAGTTATTTGCACTAATCTGTGATCCCTGTACACCAAGACACAATATAGTATTCATATAGGCACTAATCTGCCATAATATTAAGAGGATTTGTGAGTTTCCATTGTTATGGAGGGCTCGAAGGAAATTCTCTTTCGTAAATGGATCTGGCGAGAAGAAGTCATAGGTTTGTTTACTTCCATTCGTTTTCATTGTCCTTTTCTTTCTCACCTCTTTTGTCTTAGTTGATTTGTACTTCCTCTACACTACGGCAGCTGCCCGCAGTTAATCAGTCTTTTGGGTTAATTGCATGGTTGGTCACTGAGATTACAAAAAACGTTCAAGTTTGGTCACTCGAAATATTTAAATCCATGGGTGGTACTTTAGTTTACTGAAACGGTTCACGTTTGGTCACTCTCCGTCCAACTCCGTTAACTTTTGCTTACGTGGCGGTCAACTCTAAAAGTTGACCGTTAAATGTGTGACGTGGCAATTTAAAAATAAAATAAAATAATTTAAAATTTCCATCTCATTTCTAAGCAATCTCTCCACCACCACAATGCTTCTGCAGGCTCTGTACCTGCGATATCCAAAAACAGTTAAGGGAGTCCAAGAATAGAGAGATGTTGTATGACTTCATTATTGGTTTAAATGAGAGCTTTAATGCCGTAAGAACCCACATCTTAAACCTCCAACCAACGCCAATTTGGTAGCCGCCTTCCATTTGGTTCTAGAAGACGAACAACAACGCCTGATTTCCGCAGCGCACAAACCGACCACAGCGGGAGCTGCGTTCCAAACTCTGGCAGGCGGACTCGTTATCCCAGCATTGACGCCTCAAAGTCCGACAGCAGCAACAGTGTTCCAATCGCAACCTCCACGAGACGGAAAGAGAAATACAGATCAGCGGAATCGAAACTCAGATCACCCTCAATGTCCTGTCTGCCAACGAGCTGGTCTTCGAAGGGAGGAGTGCTTCGAAGTTATCGATTGGCCGGAGGGATGGAAGAGTCGAAATCAGGGGAGCGACGGAGGCTGCGGTAAAGAAAGAGAAGGAAGGTGAAAGAGATGGAAATCGCGATGGTGGCGGTAGCTTTTTCACCGGGGTAAAATTAGATAATAAAATTGATTTTTTTAAAATTTTCATCTAATTTCTAACTATTAAAAATAAAAAAATTAATTTTATTATTTTTAAATTGCCACATCACACATTTAACGGTCAACTTTTAGAGTTTGACCGCCACGTAAGCAAAAGTTAACGGAATTGGACGGAGAGTGACCAAACGTGAACAGTTTCAGTAAACTGAAGTACCACCAATGGATTTAAATATTTCGAGTGACCAAACTTGAACTTTTTTTGTAATGTCAGTGACCAACCATGCAATTAACCCCAGTCTTTTTGTTCTTTTGCTGGTGAAACTATATATGGGTCTCAAAGCTTTGTTGTCTACAAGAATTGACTGGAGCGCACGATCTGGTTGCTTTCACTTATTCACGACGATCAATGTATGAAGGGTTTTCAACCAGCTTACGATAAATACACTTGGTGTGCTTTCTCCACATATCATAATTAGTTACAAATATGAAATCTGGTTTTGCATTTGATTCTAGGTGATTGAGTGGATTATTTGAAAAGCTCCAACAACTGTCGTCGTCTGGACTGTCCTTCACCGCGGTGAGCTGCATCTTCCTATTTTCGTTCTCTGATTCCTTTCTTCCCTCAATTGTGCAATGCACCTATGATTCAAGGTTATGTTGTTTGTGTTGGCGAAAACATAACTGGCTCAAGGACTGAAGATGCATTTGAATGTGATGAATGATGCTGCCAAGCACTGGATACTCAACTAACTTAACATCCCCTCTTTTATCCCTCTCCTTCTCCTTCTTCGTTAATTTTTGTTTGTTTGTTACGTTTT